TCTAAAGAGCTGGTTGAGAATTTGTGATGTGAACATCAGGTTGTCAAGTTTCATAGTCTTAAAATTACACAAGAAACTTCCACATGCGAAAACAAGATTAAATTTTAAAATGAGGAGTTCAAGGCCATTCATGCAAAAAGGGATCACCCAGTTTAGTTGTTGGAGGAGAAAAATAAGGTAGAGACTTAGAGGGGCCTTTCCAATGGCGAGAGGGAGGAGAGGCAAAAAAACGATTATCCCGTTTACCATTTCCACTGTTTCAAGGGTCGGCCTCTTTGGCTGACCTAATTTTGCCCGTCTTGAAATGACATCGAAGCACACTAAACGTCTTGTTCTTATTGGCTAGAAATCTTTCGATGTTGTCTGCAAAGGAAAAAAACTGAGGGTCTGAGAATCTGTGAGAACGGAAGAGGTTCCCGCACCTCAATCTCCCCGAGCAAAACGAAAGCCAAATGGTTAGTGGAGGCACTTAGCGATTTTTATTGGCTTCCAGGAAGCATGACATGAGGGTAAGAAATTTTCAGGCAAAGACCGTCACCTATATATTGCTTTATCCCGAAGTGGAAGGGGCTATGTGTTAGTCTTGTTTGAGATGAATGAGAAATCTGTCAAGCGTATTTTCATTCCAGATGGCTTTCAAGCTGGTGGGTGGTGGCGCATGATAAAAGCTATCTTTGAACTCATGGAAGCACCACTGGTAAACCCATTTGAGAAAGCTAAACCTACCCAACCAATTTCCATTCCTGTTGGTTGCAATGTTAGTAGGGGCGATCTCTCCTCAAGTTCGCTGTCCTTCAATTGTCAAAGGTGCGATTATGGTATTTGTATCCAGTTTGAGGCAAGAGGAGATAAGTCCTTTACAGAAGCACTGAAATCGGGTTGTTTGCCTTCAATCTGGGTGGAGAAGAAGACACCCGACCCGGCTAGTTCAAAATTCAAAATTCAAAATTCAAAAAGGGTATCATTTTCCTGTTCTAAGCAGGGGAAACCTTGGGCCCACTCCATCTAAGCCCACCCAGAAAAAGCCCAAGTTCACTCGGGCTGAGAAAGGCAAATGGGTCGATCAAGTTGGGACCAACAAGGAAGCCCGAAAGATCCATGGAGGCAAAAAGGGTAGTCCAAAATATAAATCAAGAAGCTCAAAATTCAAATGGAGACTCAAAGGGATTCGCCCGATCTATGACAAGAATAAAAAGTCAGAGTTATGTTTTGCTCCTTTAGAATCAAAGCCTGCTTTTGTGCCTTTGGAGTCGTGCCCTAAGCAGGTTGCATTCGAAGACATGGTTGTACTTTGCTCTAAAAACATATATGTAGATTATACTTCCTACTGGGGAAAATCTCTTGATATGGAATTATTAGACGAAACGCCTTTGCTGCTCTCTGAACCAAAGCATGCAATCAAGTGTGTACCTTTGGCCATCGAGACCGACGAATAGCCTATCTTCGATGAGCTTGTCTCTCCTCTTCTATTGATTTCTAAAGAAATGGTTGTTATTAATCAACCTTCAACTGTGCCAGTAGAATGGAATGAGACTCAGGTTTACTCAGAATGAATTCTCCAAAACATAAAAGGAATCGGCCAAATCTTGGGAGTGACTTATGAAGGGTTTTGAAGATAAAGCTATAGCGTTATTTACTGAGTTGGAGAAAAGAAATGGGATAAAAGAAGTGACCGGTCCCCAAATGAAAAAAGAGATTAAAAAAACAGCAAGATGCAGGGACAAGGGAATTGTAACGGCTTCAATGCTCAGTCAACTATGATAGCAAAAAAAGAAATACAGCAGAGGGTTCTTCAACGTTTCAACATCATCCTAATGACAGAAAAAACTATCTTTTAGAATGTAAAGGGTCTAAGTGATCCGGGTAAAAGGAACATCATTAGGAGTTACATGTCTAGATGGAAACCAACAATCGTGTGCTTCCAAGAAACCAAAATTCAAGAGATCAATGAAAACATCATAAAGAGTCTGTGGAAGTCGAGCTCTATTGGATGGTTCACGAGTCCAGCAAAGGATAATGCTGGAGGTATTTTGGTTATATGGAATAAAGATGTTGGGGATTGTAAGGATCAGCTCTTGGGTGTAGCTACTGTTTCCCGTCTGTTGACCAGCTTGCAAAAAAGTGTTTATTGGTTCTTCAAAGGTGTCTATTGCAGAAGGAACAGTGCTGAAAGGACAATACTTTGGGGAGAATTATCCGAGTGTTTACACAAATAGGACAATAGGGGTGTGATTGTTGGGGATTTTAATATGATTCTTAAAAGATAGGAGAGAAGCAGCAACAATTATTTTGTCTCTGAAGCCCAATACTTCTAAATGTTCATTGATAACCATGAATTAATCAATCTTCCCTTGAAAGGTGGCAACTGGAGATGGAGCAATGACAGAGATTCTCCCTCCTACTCAAGGATTGACAGATTTCTAACCAGTCAAGATCTTCTCATGGACATGTCGGGTCTCTCTCAAAAGGTATTCAATAGACCTCTCTCTGATCACTTTCCCATTTGTTTTCATCCTGAAGGTATCAAATGGGGTCCTACACTTTTTAGAATTGACAATAAATGGTTCAAGTATGATAATTTTAAATCCATGGTTGAGATGGTTTAGAAAAATACTCGTTGCAAAGGAACACCTAGTTATTGTTTTGCCTTCAAACTCAAAATTCTAAAAAAGAAAATCAAAATCTGGGCAAGAAATGTAGAAAAAGCTGAGGAAAACAACATTCACAGTCTTATGACAAGCTTGATTTTCTGGAAAATGTGGAACGTGATCTGGGTCTGTCCTTCATTGATAGAGAAAGAAAAAACAATCTTAAACTGGAGTTTGCCAATAAACTCAATACGGAAGCCATCTATTGGAACAAAAAGCCAGAGAAAAGTGGCTCAAAGATGGCGACAAAAATATCAAATACTTCCACTACCGGCACTTCTCATTGGAGATACCAGCATTGCGGGCAACATTGAAATACAAGAGGAGGCATGCAATCATTTTCATAATATGTTCACTAAAGAATACTTCTGGAGACCGAAATTGAGAAATCTCAACTTTAACAAGTTAGATGATGTATCGACCTCTCAACTGGAATCTGAATTTACAGAATTTGAGATTTATGATTGTCTAAAAATTGTGATGGTAACAAAGTGCCGGGTCCTGATGGCTTTAACATGAAGTTTTCCAAGTGTTTGGAGCATGTAAAGATGATATAATGGCAT